TTTTATAAACTTTAAATTATAAAAAATATTGGCAAAATAAAAACTTTTAAAATTATTAATAATAAAAAGATCAAACCCCAATTTCACCATTCTCCTTTTAGTTTTTTTACTTAAAAAAATCTATTTTTAGTCATTAAAATTTGAATTGTGACCTTTTTTCATTAAGTTTTTATCTCGTAACATGTTATTCTAACAAAAATCTCAAAATAGATGGATTAAAAAAAGATTTTAAAAAATAAATGAAGAAAAAATAATTTTTTTATTGAAATAAAGGGACTAAATTAAAGTTATTTTTTAATTTTTTTAATTTTTTTATTTTAAAAATTTTATCATTTAATATATCACGTTCACGTAAGTAAAACTTAAGAGCATGACTAAAAGAAAAAAAACTCCTCTTTCTCCTTTCTCCTTTTCTCTCCCTTCTCTCCTCCTTCTGCCCCTTCTCCAGAGCTGCGTTTGGTTTTGCTCGGAAGCCTTTGAGCTTTCGAGGTTTTGATGCTTGAGTGGCTGGGCTTCCCGGCCGCTCAAGCATGCTGGAGCCGCCCTGTGCTCCCTCCTCCGATGACCCTTTCAGGTCTGTCGGCTTTGGGTCCCTTTCCGGTGACCCCTTTTGGTTTTTTCTGTTTTTCTTGTTGTTTTGTTTTACTTTATGTTCTTGTATAGTTTCTTTTTTTCAGATCTGGTGACCCTCGGCTTTATCCTATAGATTTTGGGAGGTGCTCGCTGTTTTTCCAGTTAAGGCCACCGCCGGACTGGATCTCTGCCGTGGCGTCCTGGAGATCTTGTGCCATCCTCTCCAGAGTAAATTGAAGGGTGTCCCATGGCTGGATCGATCGACCTCAGGTTGCTCGAGTGATTTCATCTCCCTTCCTCCCACGCACCGGGCCTACTCTGCTTTACTTCTCCAGTTTGTTTTTTTCTTTGGTTGTTACCCTTATCCTTTTGGATAAGGACTGGTTGTAGATGCCGTATGACAGTTTCCTAATGCATTGCTAATACCTTTTTCTCAAAAAATAGCATGACTAAAAAAAATCAGATTTTAAAATTAAAAAAAATTAAATAAATAAATTTTTTTTAACCAAAATAAAAGGATTAAAGTTGAAGATTTAACCTAATAAAAAAGTAACATACGAAGTTGAAAATAGGGAGTTGTACGTAGTGATCTATTCCTTTCATGACCAGAATAAAAAAAATTAATTTTATTTTTATGTAGAGTTTCTCTTTCATCGGCCACCAAAATCATCAGCGTCCCAACAAGAAATGCCAGATGCCCGAAGTCTCGGCAAATATGTTATGACCACTTACGTATCGACTCCAGGTCCCTCGTCAATGGCTACAAATACAGATTAGTTTAAAAACAAAAGTTTAGATCTCGCTTTAATTGTTAAGTTAGTTCTGATTTTATCAGTTGTTTTTAAAGATCACTCCTTTTGTCTCGAGCAATAATTGTTAAATTTGTTTTTATTTTAAAATTAAAAATTTAAAGATAATTTTTATCTTATTTATTTTTAAAAAAATAAAAAGATTTTTTATATAATAAAATGATGATTAAAATTAAAAAATGATTGTTTAATAGAAAAAATATTTATTTTTTAAATTAAAAATAATTGTTTTGAGATAAATTTTAAATAAAAAATATTATTTTGAGACAAAAATAAATTTTAAGGGAAAATGACATAATTTTGTAAATTTGAATTAGAAAGAGGGGCAAACTTGACTTTACATGGTTCTAATTTAGAATTTTAGGACTACTTTAGAATTACGTTTTTAACCTCTCAAAAAATTTTATTAGTATTTTCTTGAAACTACCTTGATTTTTTTTTTTAATTTTTTTGGTTGTAAGCTACCTTGATTTATAATAATTCCTTTTTTATTTCAATAAAATATTATTTTTTGCAAAAAAGAAAAAAATTAATTGATCACTTAATTAATTTATCTTCAATCTAAGATAAATTATGTTGAAATATAACTTTATTGTTGAATGTAAAATTTAATTGTAATTATAATATTTATATAAATATTAAATTAGTTAATATTATTTTACATATATTTTATAAGTATAATATCCCTATACTATTACTTCATTCATATTGACGTTATAACTTGAATGATTTTTTATATCAATAAAATTTTAGCATTTTAGAAAAGAAAAGTAGATTCATCACTTGGCTACAAGAACAGTACTTGGCTCATAGATGGCAGCAGACCTCATGACATAGACAAATCTCTGGAGCAAAATAAAATAGCACGGACTAAAGAAAATGGTACTCAATGGAATCCAAGGAATCCAAGGCAAAATTTATTTTTGAAAGAAAATACACCGGAAGTAAAAGCAATGGTACTACAGGATAAGCATTTCTACAGGAAAGTAGTGAATTATGTTGTTTTTTGAACACTTTCTTTTATCTCCACATTATGTTATTATTGTGTTTTGATCATAAATTAAATAAAATAATAATCAATAAACTTATTAAGAAATATCGATAAGAAAATATCATCAAAATAGACATCAAAAGTTTACTTATTTTAAGACGATTTACGTCTTTGCAAAGAGTAGATCAATCGGTGCAACAAAGATACATTTAACATGTCGCCCTCAGGATGCTATAGTTTTATAATTATATTCTATAAATCTACACTAGAGTCACCTAACTCAAAACACTTTTTCTTCACCCAAGAATATTTAGAAAATAAAACAAGGTAAGAAAAACAAAAGAATGTGAACACTACTGCAGGAATGTAATATTCAGACCGACCAATCGGTCCGTATATATCCCAAATCGGTCTGAACATATATATCCGGACCGATATTGGTCCTTATAGTTGATCTGAAAAAACCTGGTACGAATAAGTATAATATACAGACCGATGTATAATCGGTCCGTATATATATACTATACGGACCGAAATCGGTCCGTATATTTCAGTAAGAAATATAAAACCTGCAACTATATCCAGACCGTTTTCGGTCCGAACATATTGGACTTGCATGTAACTTTTGAAAGTTCAGCCTCCCAAGAACGCCATTCTCAAACTATATC